TGTTTGAGAGAAGGACTGGAATGTCAAAAGCCCTGGTGTCCCGATTGCTGAGGAATCTGGCCACTGAAGTATTTCCATACTGATGGGTGGAATGGAGGCCATTTAGTCTGTAGGAAAGAAGATGCAAAGGATAAAAGAGTACGTGATAATCACCTGCAAATAAACAATGAGTGGACGTCTTTAGGCAGAGGACTTAAAAAGGAGGGAAAATTGGCAAAATAGCATAAGGAAAAAGTAAAAGAAGCCTGAAAGCAAGAGAAGGAACCAAGTTCTCCATATGCGAGGCCACGATGCCTCCATAATCCTCATGGTCTCCACTCACCAAGCACAGCCCTCAGCATCAGGGTCTGGTCCTGTTGTGTTTACCAGGTTGGCTCTGATTTAACCCCTGCAGTTACTGACGGCTCACTGGAGGCCAAACTCCATGCTAAGTACTTTACCTGTATTTTGTCATTTAATCTTTTCAACACTGTGTGGTAATGTTTTCATTATCATTTGCATTTTACATAGAGGGAGACCAAGGCTTCGACAGGTTGAATAACTTGTCTAAGTAAGTGGCAGAGCTAGGACACAAACCCAGATCTTATTGGTTCCAAATTAGATGCTCTTATCATGGTGCCTCAGTTATCTCCTCTGATGGATCATTTTTATGATCCCAGTGCATTCATTCATTCACACATTAAGCACATATTATTTGAATGTAGTAGTTTTCTTTTGACACCATGACAAATTACCACAAACTTTGTAAACTAAAACAACTCAAATTTATTACCATAGAGTCCACAGGTCTGCAGTCCAACATGGGTTTCACTGGGCTAAAATCAAGGTTTCAGCCCAGCTACGTGCCTTCAGGAGGCTCCAGGGGAGAATTCTAGAAGCTATCTGAATTCCTTGGCTTGTGGCTGCCTTCCTCCATCTTCAAAAACAGCAGCATAGCATTCTCAAATCTCTATATGACTACAGCCAGGAAAGCTTCTCCACTTTTAAAGACTTATGATTAGGTGACATATTCCCAAGTTCCTGGGATTAGTGCATGGGCATCTTTAGGGGGCTAATATTCTTGTCACAGGTGCCTACCCTGTACTTGGTATTGCTCCATGAGTATGAGATGACCAAGAAGGAGGAGGACAATGGAAAGTAAATACATATGCAAGACAATTTTAGATGACGATACGTACTTTCAGACAATAAAAGAATTCAAAAATTCACTTTTTCCCAAGCATGCCATTCATGCATTCATCCATTCGATGATTTTTGAATGCCTACTATGTAAAAGGTGTTCTATCCGTTTCAGGTAGAACATTGAGTGTACAGAGTTTCCATTCTAATGGAGTATTCCATTGGAGGAAACGGATAAACATATATACATAGATAGGGACAAATGCTACAAAGAAAATACTCCATACTCTCTCTCCTGTACCTTTTCACTTTTCACTTATCCATTTTTTTAATCTAGTATGTCTTGTAAGTCTTCATTAAGTGCTTAGTGGGTGTCAGGCAAAGTGCTAACTAAGCACAGGGCTTACAGTAAGGAACTTAGATTTGGCTTCTTTGTCCTCACTGTAGTGAAGAAACCAACTAACAAAAACCATACATTGTGGGAAGTGTTCTGAGAGAGAATGAGCCAGGTGCTTGGAGAGCACACAGCAGGATTACTGATGCCGTCCCCTGGGTCTAGGACACCGTTTCCCCATCACTTCCCCCTTGCTGGGAACTCTCGTACTCATCCTTCTGGAGCTAACGTCAGATGTCTGCTCTTTGAAGAAACAGTTTCTGGTGTTTAGTAAATGCTTAAAAACCACAAATATTTGTGGATTTTTCTTATTATTATTGTTTTAAAATTGTACAGTTCTTTCTCAACTTACCCAACAGATGGATGTTTATATTCACAATTGAGTCAAGTCACATTACTCAATAATATGGGCATTGTGATTACATTTTAGTAAAAGTAAACAAGTAAGCAAAACCTGTTTATATGTGTGTCAATTACTGTATATATTTGTGTAAGCAAGGAGAAAATTATAGAAGAATATATACAAGGCTGTTAACAAAGAGGAAATAATCATCTTTGGCTTTCTGCATTGTAAGGTAATGAGCATCCACTGACCCTTGAGGATGAGTGGATACCATCCTGCTCAAATTATACACCTTCTGTTTGTTTTATTTTAGTTACATTTTGACATCTGGTTAACCTAGATGGTTTCATAAGTGAATTAAAAACCAAGAAAGCATAAATAATCAATTACTGTTCTGTATCCAACTTGCTTAATAGATTCTTATGCTGTAATTTCCTCTTCTGCAAATTAGGAATAATAGACTTTCTGTAAGGATAACACAATTAGACTGGGTAATACACACTTATTTTCATAACATACCAAAGAGTTGCCGAGTGTAAATGAAAACTCTCTAATTTTTCTTTTGTGACATTCATGCCAACTGATTATGCTCCAGAAAAATCTGTGCATTATAAAGCACTGCTATGATCCACCCTAAACTTGCATGTATTTGAACAAATGTCACCCTTCTCCCATAACCCTTAAAATTCAATCTTCTTCCATTCAGAGTCTGGACATTAAGTGGGGATCTGGTGGAGGAAAAGGGAAATCCCATGATAATATAGAAGTTTTTTCATGAGTTTACATAGGGGCCAGACTGTGTCTTTGGAGACCTTATAAACAAGGCTTTAGTCATTAGAGCAACTTAAGAATGAACTCGACATTCAAGAGAAACTTCAGAGGGTCGTAGCCCAAGCTCACTGGTTACTACAGGTCTACACAACTTGTACAGGTAGGGGCTGGGCTGTATCTGAGATGGCCTCTGGGGATGAAGGGGTAAGGCAAATGCTTTCCAAAGCCATGTAGATTCGGTATGACATTTGCCGCACAGACCACACTTGCACTGCTTCCTACTCCTGCCTAATAGCAGAGTATAGATGTGGCCTCACCTCTATGATACTGCCATCTTTCTCCATCTTTAATTTCAACTCTCTTGCATTCACTGATACTCAACTCAGGTCCATTGGCCATTTCCTCCATGCGAGAAATTAATGAAAAAAGAAGAAAAGAAGATTGAGGTACTTATGTGCTTTCCCCCTACTTCCCATTTACATCTCTCCCTTCTCAACAGCCACCCCCAATACTCAAGTTGTGTATTCTTCATAAGGAACTGTATCTTGATCCAATAAAACTTATAAAATGTATAAAATGAAGGTAATGATGATATCTGACTTATGTGGTTATTATGAGGATTTAATAAGGTAATTTGCTTAGAATGTTGCTTTGAACAGCAATCACTCATTAAATCCCAGCTATAATGAATATTAACAGTACTAATGTTACTCAGTTATCGTTCCACATTTTTTTATCTTAATAAGGATAGGATATCTTTAGAGTTCTGACAGATGGGAAGAAATGCAAAGGTAAGGAATCATTAATCAGCCTCTAAGTGTGTCAAAGAAAATCTCACAAACAGCCCAAATTTCACTCCCTATTCATATGCACTAGTCAAATAAGGAATTACTCTATTAGATGCATCTCTGGAAACCTGGAGTGGTGTGATATCCTTTCTTTGTTACTCATATGGGCAGAGCTCTTTAACATATTCTCTCAGAATGGCAAAAGCATCATTTTCTCTTTCTCATCTCTTCCTATTTCCCTCTCATGTACACATACCCTCCATAACTGAAATTATTCAGCTCTTCCCAGCACGGGTTTAGAATACACAGACCTAGCTCTGAAGGTAACAGGCTGAAAATGGAGACAATCCAGCTTTTATTTTTTTCCCCGCCCTTGGGTTTTGGTATCTGGGATAGGTTGCAAAGGGCTAGAACATGGCTAGATAGAAGCCTTGTATCACATGGGCTGTTTAAATATTCATACAGCTTCTTCTGGCAGCTAAGAGGACTGCAAACTTAGCCCAGAAACAAACAAACCAACCAGAGAAGATAATCTTTCAATTTCATAGCATTCTAAAATGGCTGCTATGAATTAAAAACTTAAGTGCTGACTCTGGTTTAATTCTTAGGCAAATGTCTTTTATATGCAGCTCAGGACAATAGGCAAGTGGTTGCATGCATTTCTAAGTACTTTGCTGAGTAATATTATTAGTATCAGATATTTACTAATATGAATACTATAAAAACTTATTGTACTGTCAAAGCCATCTCTTCTATAGTTACTTTAGTAATGACTTGAAATAATAACTGACATGTTCCCCTTCCAGTCAACAGATTTCCGTATATAGTAACACATGGTTTAAGTTATAAGCAGCTGAGCTATAGAAAAAATCAGATTTGAAGACTGTATGTTCTTCATTAGCACATGTGAAGATACCGGAAATGTAGGTATCTAGTCAGTGTTTTATTTTGTGTTTAGCTGACAGTTCTCCGTTTGTAATTAAGTGATTTTTTTTGTTGTCCTAATTTTGGCTGATAAAATTTAGTTAATTTCACAATTTCAGACAACAACATAAAAGCAAACCTTGGCACCGCATTGAACCTTAAATTCCTTCTTCAAAATAGTATCTTTTTAGTGAAAATCTACTCCGTTTTATTTTTTATAGCTCTATTCACGAGTTCTGATTCTATCTAGTATGCATCCTCTCAATATGGCATACAAAGATGTAAACATGAAAACACTCCTTTATCAGTTTTCTCCTTCTAACAGTATTAATCTAAAATGTAAATTCATATAAAATAAGAGTAGGTACATTAAAAGTTAAAAACAGTCACTTGGAGTATCTGTGCTCAGTGTTCCTAAATGATTAATATTACATAAGAATTAGCCATTAGTAAATATCAGCTAAGTAAAATTAAATAATCACCACACTTAAATTCTACTTTTAAGGAACTTCCTTCAAAAAATTTATAAATTGCAGTTAATTATGGAACTATATAGGCATATATATATGTCTATAAATATATATGTGTACATATACATATATGAGATATATATCAAGGAAATACCTTCCTGAAAAGTCCTGTTTTTCACTTACTATTTCAGATGTACATTACCAACACAATCAAAGCCAAAGGAACAAGACTTGCTAAGCCCGTTCTATGCTTGGGCCTGATGTGTTTGGCCTTCCTTACTGGTCTCAACAGAGTAGCCGAGTATCGAAATCACTGGTCAGACGTGATAGCAGGCTTTCTGGTTGGAATATCTATAGCAGTATTTCTGGTAAGTACAAATTTATTTGGCTATCATTGGGTTTTAAGTTAGCTTGTATAACCGCTGTAAGAAAACACAAGTGTGAATCACTGAGTCTATCTAAATGGGATATATCAAATGATAATATATATACTTTAAGTCATTCATTTTTTTCCTCATCCCTCATCTGTTCTGCCTCAAGTCAGGGTTAGGGATGGAAAAAATGTAAATTCTACATTTCAAGGTGAACTAAATATTTTCAGATAAAATGGAGCAAGACTAAAAACACTTAGTCCTCCCCAGATAGTTTTTTAAGACGGGGTTGCTTGGATATTTTTAAAATTTCCTCAGGGCGCTTTGCATCCTGAAGTATCTGGAGCACCCCAAAGTGCCTTAGTGACTCAGCACAGAGCTCTCCATGAGCCACTGTGTCACAGCACTTGCTGACGGGTAAATCTCACTGTGCGGTGAACCAGTTCATTTCCGTCACTTACCATTCGTGGGTAGTTTCCAAGACAAGACCATCTCAAATTAGACCTTGCCAGGTAGCGCAGAGCATATATAGTGACTTCTAAGAAGTAAGGTGTCATCTCTACTCCCATTATAAAATCTCTATGGAATATTTCTGTGGGTTTTGGTTATTGGAAAATACATTTTAGTCTGGATTTGGAGTTAATCAGTCCATTATAAGTGTGGATATATAACATTTTACCCAGATGGAATAAGTGTAGACTATAATTCAAAACATAGCTTTGCATTGACACGTTAATATAAGAAACACTTTATTTCCATTTTGATTACATTTAAGTTGCTTCTCACACTTAGCTTTGCTTCTTCAGCCTCCTTTCACTAGTTCACAACCAGTAAGCAAAAACTTATATGAACATTTCCAGCTACCAAAGATTGGAGCACAATTTGTGAACCAGGCATTTTAAATTGGTTATTTCCTCCAGAACCTCGTGTGATGAAGTAGTGACTATGCCCTCATCCCTGCTCTGCACCCTATGCTGCTTTTCTTCCTGATATCACTCTGTCTCTCCCTCCCGAAGATGTTCTATAGCCTCAGGAAAATGGGGCCCAGGCTTGAATCAGAACCTTTTCCTTGCTTTCACTCACCACAGGTGAAACAGGTTAAAACATTTAAAACAAAACAAAAAAACCTACCTTACGCAAATCTGAAGACAATAATCATAGGCAAGTCAAAGAGTATACCAAAAGTCAAAACTTCAAAGCACTAGTGTCAGATGTAACTGCATTTCAGTTTCCACAGGTCCAAAATATCTTCACTGGCATCTCATCAGGCTTCCTGCTTCTCTTCCTATGCCTGTTGCCATCTTCTCTTTACTCCAGTGAACATCTTGACACCTTTCAAGGCCAAATCTAGAACCCTAGTGTCTTCCCATTCACGCCCTCACCTGAGAACCATGTGGTTAATGATGACTTGGACCGTGATCCCCCTTGGGCTCAAGACCCTCCTATTGAACATATTCAGAACATTCCATAATGGCCCTTCAAACGTTTCCATACACCCAGGAAAATGACCTTATGAAAAGGTCATGTAAATAATGTTTAGGATCTGGCCCAGTGGCGCAGCGGTTAAGTGCTCACGTTCCCCTTCTCGGCGGCCCGGGGTTCGCGGTTTGGATCCCAGGTGCAGACGTGGCACCGCTTGGCACACCATGCTGTGGTAGGCATCCCACATATAAAGTAGAGGAAGATGGGCATGGATGTTAGCTCACGGCTAGGCTTCCTCAGCAAAAAGAGGAGGACTGGCAGCAGTTAGCTCAGGGCTAATCTTCCTCAAAAAAATAAATATAGAAATAATGCTTTAACTATGTAATAACTAAACAAGTATTTATACATTCATGCACAACTATTTCTGAGTGTGAGTGCCTATGGGAGCCAGGCTCTGTACCAAGAACTGGGGATATAGGGGGGCTCAGATGAACATGCTCCTATGGAGTCACAGTCTGGTTCAGGGTCAGACAGTAATAGGTTGTTCCCTCGAACATTCCCTCCTTCTCTTCATAAAATGAACATTAGCTCCTATTATAATCCAGGCACTGTGCTTGGTGCTGGGAATGAATACCTGAAAAAGATACAGTCCATATTCTTAAACAGATCACAATTGGGTGGGGCCAGATAGATGCAAAGTGTTTTATAGAGGTTAAATGTAATGATAGAGGTTCATATACTTAAGAGAACAGCTATGTTGGGATTTAGGGGCAATCAGAAAGGGGAGATGATACATAAACTTGAAAAATTTGGAAAGCAGGTAGGTCTAGGCTGGGTGTAAGGAAGAAGAGACCAAGAGCATAGGACACAGAGGCTATGAAATGCTTCATGAAACAAATCATATGGAGCCCTTAGTGTATGCTAGGCCCAGGGCCCAGCATGTGCATGAGAGAGCATGGCACCCTGGAATGGTACCAGTCATCCAGCATGAGTGACAAGAGGGGAGGATGGAAACGCACACAGGAGGAATATCCCAAATGGCCTTCTGTGTTAGAATCATCTGGGCTTTTTAAAAAATTTAGGTGATTTGGGAGCCACTGTCAGGGTTCAAGTGAGTTAAAGCTGGGTGAATCTCAGCTTCTCTATGTACTCAGTTCATGCGATTAGGCAATTTACCTAACCTTTCTGAGCCTCGGGTTCTTCCTCTTTAAATGAGGCTAATAACAGCCTCCTTAAAGATTGTAAGGATTTATAAAGGTTAAACGAAATAGTATGTGTTCAATGAGTAGCCACATAAATGACTGAAATAAGTTCAATAAATGATAGTTTGTTTCCTTTCAGTCCCTTTTACTCTGACGCAATTTGTGCTTTGAAAATAAAACTCCAGGTGAGGACAGAGGGGACAAGTTATGCAGAACCAGGGAAAGAAAATGGCGCAAAGTGGGCCTCAGTGGGCAGAGAGAAAGGAGGGTATCCATATCAGGGAGGGATTTAGGAGGTGGAGTGGTTTGGAGCTTGATGGGACACTGGAGATGATGGAGGCGAAGGAAAGGGAGCAATCTATGATGATTCCTGGGTTTCTCATCTGGGCAACTAAGTAGAACATTTATTTTGAGCAGTCACTGCAGCTCTAGCTGGCAATATCCTGGGGTATTTCCAATTATCTTGCAGTGTGTGCGAAGCTCTCAGATGATTCCGAAATAAAATGAATACTAACCTCCTCCAGGCCTCTGTGTCTCGAGTAAAGGCACCCACATTCCCCAGTCACCCAGTGTCTGGCATTTGCCTCTGACTCATTCGCCTCGTTCATCCCCCTCATCCAGTGATTCAGCTAGCCCCAGCTCATTTCCACTACGACAGTATTTCTTCCATGCCTTATTTCTTTGCCATTCTGACGATAACCTCTCAATTAAAAAATCAATGTTTCTTACTCCTATTATATCTTTAGGTTCCTAGCTAGCTCCTCACTTCAGACTCTCCTCCAAATACCTCCCATTCTGCTTCTGTACACGTGATGACGTAATTCATTGCTAATAAAAACACGAAAAACAAAAGCAAAGACCTCTTTCCTGCTGCATTAACTCCAGACACTTCCATTGGACTTCGGGGTCCTCAGTACTCTGGTTGCACTCTTCCTAGCCAAGTTTATGCTTCCGTCTTTACAGCAGAAATCTCGTACTTTGAATCCAGTCAGTTTTCTTCCTTTCTCACGGACAGGCTTTGCTCAGCCGATGCATTTGCCTCAGTGGGGATGCCCTTTTCTCTGTATATTTTACAGACCAAAACAGGTGTGGGAGTCAGACAAACCTAGGTTGAATCCTGCTTTTGGCACTTGCTCCATGTGTGACCTAGAACAAGTCACTCAGCCCCTCATTATTCCTAAAATAGTGAGGCCTTCCCTGAACCATATTTAAAATGGCTGTCCCACTCCAAGGACTTCTTCCTCATTTCCTATTTACTTTTCTTTGTAGCACATTTCAACTTTTAATACACCACATGTAATATTTTTGGTGTTTTTTTTTTTGCTATCAGACCATTAGAATATAAACTCCTGATAGAGAAAGTTTGTTTGTTTTCTTCACTGCATATTCCCAGTATGCAGTTCAGGGTCTGGTACATAGGAAGGTCTCAGGAAATGCTGATGAATGAATGAATGGACTGTTTTCTTTACTTCCCAGAGCTCTTTTGTGGGTTAAGTGAAATCCCATATGTAATAAGGGCAGTCAAGTGTGTGGTACAGAGTGGGCTCTGGATATCATGGTCCTCATCTTAATGACTATATTCAATTCCTTTTTTAGGCGCTTGAGATTTTTCTCAGACGTGTCCCAGCTTCCTCGGAAGGGTCCCCTGATCACCTGGTTCCCTCATTTTTCCTGAATTTCCACTACACTTGCAGTTTGCCCTATTACAATCTAATAAGGAATCACATTCTGTACTAAGTTTATTGCTCTTACCTATGTGCATTTTCTTTGAAGTTAGAGAACAGAATCCCCATGCTTAGGAAAACATGAATACTGGTTGACCATGACTTGTAGATTGATTAATCTTCCTTTATACAAATGTATGCCTCAGAACACTTCCAAAAAAGATGTATTTTACCATGTCAGGCAAAATATTCAAGTTTCCTGAGCTCTGAGCCACAACGTTAGCTTGTCATATTATTATATGTAAGAACATATATCAACATAACAACATATCTCATAATAATGAATTATTTGAGTACTCTTTACTACATTAACTCAAGTAATTCTCACAACAACACATTGACATGTATTTATTATTGTCCTCATTTTGCAGATAAAATAAACAGGTCTAGTTACATTAAGTAGCTTACCCAGGCTCACAAAGTTACTAAATAAGACAGCCCAGGATTAAGGCCGAGGCCTGTGTGACCCCAAAGCCCACGCACTTAACCCTATGCAACAAAGATGTTTTACTTTCCACAAGGAAAAAGGGAAAAATGATCACAAATGGATCAGATTAATTTATTGTCACTACTGGAAAAAGAAAACAAAAACATATGTGTAGTGATGACTTCTTGATGTCGTTTTTGTAGGAGAGGGTGGAATTATACACATGAAAGCGACTAATGTAAAGATAGAATATTTCAAAGGAAAGTCACTTTGAATTATACAGGAACATCAGAAAAGTTGAGAAGTTTTGGGCTGGATGCCTGCTCATTCACTAATCTATTCATTCACTGTGGCACTGACAATACAATCGTGAGCAAAAAGAGGCATCTTTGTTTTCCTGGAGCTCACAACCTTGGAAGAGACTTACATTAACCAAAGTGTTACTTTAACAAATGTATAGTTTCATACAGAGATAGGCACTTTGATGAAAAAAATCACAGTTCCATGTAAGCAAACAAACAAAACAGCCTGGGGTCAGGGAAGGCTAATGAGGAGGTGAGACTGAGCTGAGATTCCATAGATGAGTAAGATGCAGTGTCCAGAGACAGTGGAGATGAGTATTCCAAACAGAAGGATGTGAAGGAGAGCAGAAGCTGTTTGGAAAACTGAGAGAAAGAAGGCTGTGGAGGTGGGCCAGAGTTTACCCTTTATGAGAAATGGGAAGCCAAGCCACAGAATGGTTTTGAGAAGGATGACATGATCCAGTTTGCATTTTGGAAAGATGATTCTCACATCATTGCAGAATACGGATTGGAGAGGGCCAAGACTGGATTTGGGGAGACTTTAGAAAGCTATGCAGAATCTAGCAAGTGGTGGCGATTGCTTAATCTTTTGAGCTCATGGTGGAGACAGAACAAAGATATAAGAAATCAAAATATTTAGGAAGGAAAATTGAGCAAATTGAGTGAAGTTTGAGTATAGGATGTGTGAAGGAAGAATACAAGTTTTCAGCCTTGTGTAACACGTTAGGGGAATGGGGGTGTGGAGATGTTTCCTTTCCTTGAGAGGCCCAGAACAAGATCAGGTTTGCAGTGGGGTTAGGAGATAGGCAGATCTTAGGCTTCATTTTGGACATTTGTTGTATTTGTCATACGTTTGCCTACCAAAGAAATGGAGCTAATTTGGTGATCTCCTCACTTTTGAATTGAGAAAACTGAGACCCAGAACACTTTCCAAGAGCTTATAGACTCAGGATCCAAAACCAGGTCTCTTGCTTTTTCCTATGAGCATTTTTACTAATAGGAAATCAATTCCATACTTGTGAATGTTAGCAGACAAGACATTAAATATTTGAATATGATTCTAAGGAAGATTTGGTAATTTCCTTCCTTATAATTTAAATAATAACAGTAATGATGAATAATCATTATGCTAATAGATACCATTTAATGAATATCTACTATGTCTCAGGCATTTAAATATTTCACATATGAATTCTCAGCTGTTTCGATGGTATTGTTCTGACCCTCAATGTGGGCAAAGAGATAACTGATATAACCTTTCAAAGAGTTCTTCACACTTAAATAATATAAAAAACAATTATACTAATTTCAGAAGGACATATTAACTCTAAATGAACTTAATTTAATCTCATGAGTTACACATGTCTATAACTTACCTATATAAATAGCATAGTTATTTCATTTCAACAAATCTTTCTTCAGAAGAATCGGTGGTAATTTTTTTCATCTGCCCAATTTTCCATTAATTTATAATATTAATAAAAAGGGATGTGTGTGTCTATTTCATGAAATGATGTGAAACTCCTTGTTGGTTTTGTGGATGTTAGCTAAAGTTCTTGATTTTATCCTTAGTACCCTAGTTAGTGGTCAGGTGGAAAACTACGGCCCATGTGAAAAAAGCTATATTGGGACACTGACGTGCCATTCCTTTATGAATTGTCTGTGGCTGCTTTCACACCAAGATGGCAGAGTTGAGTAGTTGCTGCAGAGATTGTATGCCTACAAAGCCAAAAATATTTATTATCTGCCCTTTACAGACAAAAGTTACTGTTCCTTGCTCTGGGGCAATCACTATTAGTCCTCTGTAGGGTCATCATTTGATAATTGGTTTATCAAGTACCCGTCTCCAAGCCATTACAATCCCTTACTTTAAAGATCTTGATGGCAGTGATAAAGTTGAGGTATCACATTATCAGGCTTTGATCTATGCTTCTGATCTGTAATTCTTCAAGGAAGTGGAAGAATAGTAAGCATATAACAGTTAGCAAGGAAATATTCTTTTCTGAGATAGTCTTATTGTACGTGTTATTATTTTGTAGATTTGTAAATTTTATTTAAAAACTGGAGAGTAACCAAGATCTAATTGTCCTTTGAAAATATTCAGTAATGAGCCCTACTAAAGAAAAGGCTTTCCAATGGAGCGTTTGTGAAAATATACAATGTAAATGTGTAATTATATATTAAGCATTTATTTAAAAAGTGAATATTAGGTTTTAACTGCAAGTGAGTTCTGTTTTTTGATTTGATAATAGAGTATAAAACCCAGAAAAGGAAGGCTCAAGGATATATTACCCACTAGTTAGTATAAGCAAATAATAGCAAGTAATTTTCCTGTGTTATTTAATTCGCTGTTTCTTAGAGATGAGCCACCTGCATCAGAAGTTTCTGGAATGCATTTTAAAAGTGTCAGTTCCTAGGCCCCATCCTTCATCTACAAAATCAGAATCTTTAGGGAAGGACTTAGGAATGTACATTTTTAACAGTGCCAGAACTTAATTTTTATTCACACTAGAGTGTGAGAACCTCTGCTTTAGTTCAAATTCTATCACCTATGAGATATAATCAGTTGAAACAAGGGTCAATTCCCTTTTTGTAAAAGGTCTTCTCTTTCAGTAGTAGCCCAGTAAGCTATTGTTGAACAAATGGCCAGTATATATGGGATACAATAATAGACAATAAACTAGGTTAATTAAAGGTATGCTACTAAATTAGGGAGTGCCAATTGTGGAAGGTTTATTATGAATGTAACAATCTTGAAGCAATGGGAAATAATTAGCATTTAAATTAAGTCGTAGGTTCACGACATTAAGGAAAGGTTAACTTGCTTTGAATTCTTATAAGGTTATGATGCTATTTTTGGATTGATTTGAACATTGACTATAACCTAAATTAATGAAAATTTTAGAATAATAAAATTGTCATTATTAACTGAGCTATATATTAATTGATGAATTTTCTTGAACACATTTGCCCTGGAGTAACTATTCAAATTTATGTAAGATAAATCTAGATATAAAGTTATATGCATGTAATATTTAAGTAATTTTAATACTTTATTACTATGATTAGATTTATTAAGCTACTCAAAGGGTCATAGTCATGGGGAGAATGGCTTTGCTTTAAACTGTAATTTTTTTCTGATATTTTAGGTTGTGTGTGTGGTAAATAATTTCAAAGGAAGACAACCAGAAAATGAGCATATACACGTGGATAATCTGGCACAGATGCCAATGATCAGCATTCCTCGAGTAGAAAGTCCTTTGGAAAAGGTAACATCTGTACAGGTGATTCATAATTTAAATTCTAAAATGTGATTGTTGTCTGGAACAAGTGAATAATTATTCCTGAGAGCACACAGTCATTTTTGATTTGCTGAAACAAGCTTATAGTCTAATGTGATATTTAGCAAGAATTTAGTCACCGAACACGTCATCTTAGAAAAATGTATATCACATTTAAAATATTTCCTTGAATCCTTCATGCTAAAAGATGCATACCTGTACATGGAATACATTCTGTACTTTGTCATGCCTTCTAGATAAGGAACATTGTGTAATGATCTCCGATGTAGGCAAAATAATAAGATAGTTTTACTTGAGAATGTGTGCATTTTTTCCATAAAATATATTCCATTTCTTCCATGCTCCATTTATTTGAGAAACTGCTCAGTAAAACGCCTGGCACCTATTCAGGCCTCAATAAATATTTGCTGAATCTGAACTATATAAAGGTGTGGCATGAAAACACCAGTCATGCTCTCCCAGTCAGGGAGGCACTCAGGGTCAGGTTGGGCTGAATGGAGCCAGACCAGGTAGCACTTTTGAGTGGCAGGAAAAGGCCTCATTGGGCGTGGCAGTGAACACAGAAGCCAGATATTTAACAAAAACTTTTCTTGAGACTTTTCTGAACTAGGGAGAGTAGTATTTCTTAAATGATGATGCAGTTATGGATATTTGTAACTGGTTAAATGGTTGCTCAGAGGGTTACTAATGGTTCCTCCCCAGCCCTGTCCACATCCACATTTTGGTCAATATCTCAGATGAAGAGTTCAGTTACATGCTAATCAGGGGTTTAGATGGTGTGAATTTGTGAGGGATAATTAATATATTAGATGAAAGGATCAAAGTTCTTGAGAGATTACAATACAATACAATTAACAACATATAAATAAAGGAAATGTTTCGTATTTGGATAAAAAAAGTTCATGTAGGGTTGAGTATATCTAGAATAACCGCACAAATGAAAAACGCTCAGAGTGTATTAGGCTACCATTCAGGATGTATCAACAGCATGACACGGCTGCCAAGAGTTAATTTGATCCCACTCAGGGAAAATGATATCCTGAATGAGGGGATTGATATACAGTGTATATCTATCAAACTTGAATACTGTGTACTGCCCTTGGCGACATATTAAGGTAGATGTTGATAAAATAGAATAGTCAGCACTCAATAAATATTTGTTAAATGAGCGAATGAATGTGTCTCAGATGGTGAGTGGACTCAAAGTCAAGGATTATGAGAGACTGTGGAAGGAACAAAAATGATTAGTCTAGAGAAAAAGAAAACTCATGGGAGAAGCAATAGCTTTCCATAAATATTGGAAGGACTATTGGATGGCAGAGGGATGCAGTTTTTTCTGTAGGGCCTCAGAGATCACAATTAGGATGAAAGAAAAGAAAGTGTAAGAAGATAAATAACATCTGGAAAGAGGTAAAAACTTTCTGAAAATGGAATGGCTGCCTTAAGAGCAATGAAATTTCCTTTTACTAACGAGATTCAAGAATAGCTAAATAATCACTTATCCCTAATTCTGTAGAGGGAGTTCAAGCATTCAGGTGAGGATAGAGGTTCTGGAAGATGATGATAATAATAATAATAATAGCAGCAACAACTATGGTTTAATGATCATTCAGTATGTGTCAAGTACTATGCTGATTGCTTATGTGAATTCCAAGAAAACACTTCTATGCTCCACAAGTGTTATTTCATTCTAGGTATCATGATAGTGGCACAGACTACTAATAGTCCACCAGTGTCCCTTCTCCCCTTTTTCCTTTTAGTAACTGAATTCCCCAGTCCAATTTTAGCTACATTCATGACTGCCCAGTGATAGTCTATATTTCCCAGCTTCCATTGCAGTTAGATGTGACCATACGACTAAGTTTAGACCAATGCAGTGTAAGCAGGAGAGGGAAGTGCAACCTCTGGTTCATCTCTTTGAACACTTTTGTCCTGGACATTCTCTACCCCTTCTCGCCAAATGGAAAAGGTAATGACTGGAGTAATCTTTAATTTTTTAAGATGACTGATACACCTTGACAGCCTGGGTTCCTGGATGAGCTCATGGAACAGTCGATATACACATTGCAGATGGTTCTGAGAAAGAAATAAATTCCTTTCCTCTCTGAGCCATTGGATTATTTTAATCTGTTTTTCACAGTGGCTTAGCTGATGCCCTATTAAAATTTCCTCATTGTAGTTAAGAAAACTGAACTTCCAAGTGGTTAAGCAATTTTTGAAAGTCCACATCATTGGTAAACAGCAAAGAAAAAATATACAATGTAATATTTCAAGATACATGTCTATGTGATAAAATATATTTTTTTAAATGAATAGTTTGTACAAAATTAGATATTAACAAAAAATAAAGATAAAAAGCAATAGAATTTAGAAAGCGATAGTAAATGTATTTTGAAGAAAATGGTCAGGGTCACAATCAGCGTCTTTATTCTATATATCTCTGAAATTAACTTGAACAGTAATCAGTCTTCTGCTTTTTAACATATTTATTTACATAAGAGTTCTTTAGTAGCCTCCTAGCATTGACAAATATTCTTATATACCATTACATCATTCTCTATATTAAGTGATTTAAAAAATTCTTCTTGATTTATGCTAATTCATTTTTATTTACAGTGAGTTTTAAAATATTAGATGAAAGCAAAAAATATTCTATTAGAATCCATAGATTGCAAAAGATTGGTGTTTATTAAACTTCTTTCTTTCATTCATTTTTTTTGTTTATGACAAATTCATGGGCTTTGTTTCCTCCCTGGTAGTTTGAGAATAAAGATGATTTGAATATGATTCGACTCTCTCCTTTACCAACTGGAGTGCATGGGCACACACTCTCCTGAGCTCCGACCTTCTTCTCCCACCTTTTCATTCCTGTTTCCAGGCAGAACACTGTCTGCACGGTGCGTGGTCTGTTCCCTGCACTCACACAGACCACAGGAAGATCACGAGTCCAGGGGCTGGGAATCCATCTGAGGCTTCCTTTTGGAGCTATGCTGCTGAGAGGACGTGTACATGTGCTCATCAGCCAGGAAGGGAGGAAGGCCACCAGTTAAGGGAAGCCCACAAGAGCTTTCTCTTCCTTTTGTGATAAGGAGTATTTGGAGTAAATATATCGCTTTCCATCATAGTTCACAATGGGAAATAAGTGAATGAAAAATTCTTTGTGGTAGTTTGATTTCAATTAATTGATAGTTGGAAAGTGACATTGGATGCTTGAAGCCGGTCCTCTGAGGAGAGAGAGGGTGCCCAGTGTTAAAGCTTGGTCTGCAGGCATGACCAGTAGTTTTAGCATAATTTTGCCAACCTATCATTTTCTGTTTGTCAGTTTTGTGTGGAGAAAGCAAAGTTTCTTTTAGAAGTTATGTACTTATATAACCTCTTATGTTCAAAGTACATGTTTGATAAACTGTCAGCTACAGAGTAATTATAGCATGTAAGCATTCTTTATTTTTATGTCAGCAATTTATCCCTTAATTATAGGGAGTTTGTCATACAGTTAATCACCATAGTTTATGAGGGAAAGCCATGATTTTTCTGAAAGCTAAGTAAATCGGAACATTCATTACATTTGGTTTTATGAAATGAATTAATCATCTGTGTGAAAACTGGCCCATCATATCCCAATGTCCACTAAATATTTAAGTTACCAATAGCTTCATTACAGCTGTATGTAATATCAGATCATGAAAAGTCTAAATGTATGTCAGTACTGAATTATTAGATCAATTGTGGTACTTCCCTCCAGTGGAATCCAGTACATTATAGTGTGTTGTTTCTGCTCACAGGTTCTGGAGGTAGACCTGCTGGGAATTTTGCACAATTTTGACCTTGGGCAACTTACTTAAATGTTCTGTGACTCAGTTCTCTCATTCATAAAATGGTCATTATGAGAATTCAATAAGTTACTGGTAAAGCACTTAGAACAGTGTCTGGGACCTATGAAGCCTTTAATCATTACCAATTATAATTATTATTACTTTTTAACAGTTAAAATGGGCAAGGTAAATCAAGATGTGGAAAGTTTTCCAATACATAAAGTTTTTTTTAAGTTGATATATATAAAATGTGTTTGTTTATAATAAAGCCTGTTATGCAAAATACCACACAAGATATTTCTCTCTAGTAGGACAGAAAAGAGTACATAGATGAAAGAAAGAGAGAGAGAGAGAGAGAGAAACTACAGACACCAATCTGAGAGTAATACTTAAACTAAGATCGTGGACCTGATTTTCTTTTTTTCTCTTTCTCTTTCTTTCTTTCTTTCTTCCTCCCTTCCTTCCTTCTTTCCTTCCTTTCTTTCTTTCTTTCTTCCCTCTCTTCCTCCCATTTTTTTCTTCCTTTCTGTTTGTCTTTCTCTTTCTCTTCCTATAATGAAGTTATATTCATGCATAATTGTGTAATTAAAATAATTATAATTTTTAAAACTTTTTCAATTTTCTACAACTTCTTTCTAAGTAGGTCCTGGTTATGCTTCCTCATGTTAACTATCAATATGTTCAGACTGATCAAAGTCCCTTAGAAAAATTCCTCCAGAGTAATTTAAATCCCTGTGCTCCTTCCCTGTGATGCACATGATCTTTTTGAAAGTGGTTTATTTTTCTCTGCCAAACTGGCAATGGAGACCTTGGTTGTAGTTCCCACGCCTTCATGCCTTCATGCCCAGGGTCTACTTCCCTTGGCACACCTGCAGCCATCCCCGTTTCAGGTCCTATCAGCCCTGGAACCCTGCACAAGAGCTGTGTGCAGATGCCTCTCACTTAGAGGATCCACAAAGTTCCCACCCCCCCAAAACCCCAGGGAGTCAAGTATCTTCATAAGTCATACCACCCTTTTCTTTCAAACTAATCTTTTTCTGGCTCCTGGCTTCAAGGGCCCATGCATCCCAAACAAAAGCTTCAGTGGTGCTTCCAGATGTCTCCAAAAACATGAAGACATTATTTATTACTCTTGGGAGTCCAAGATACAAAAGTCTGACTCTCCTCCTA